TTCACCAGAGACAGAGTGGGGAGCAGAACAGGCAGACTGAAATACAGTGGGGCCTGCCCTGGAGGCCCTGCTCAGGGGCCTCCCCATACCGCAGGTGGCGCACCTGCCTGGCCCAGGTACGCTGCCTGCCTTCACACTCTTCAGGCCGAGAAGGGGGCATTCAGACCCCGCCCTGCTCTTGTGTGTGTGATGCAGGGTCTGATTTCCAGCTCTGAGAGTTCTAAAGAGATGGGGGGAAATTGTGTGTATGTGGGGTGCTGTGCCTGAGGCTTCACCCCCCCACCCTTCAGGGTGCTCTGCACCCCGGGAAGGAAGCCTTACCCTCCAGGGCCCATGAGAAGCTCGGGCAAGCTTTCAGAGAACTGTGAGCCCGGTTTCCTGTGGGGGTGCAGGAGTGGGTCCAGAAAGGCGGACTCTGAAGAGGGACCAGACTCACTGTGAGGAGAAGGTGGCAGGTGGAGCCAAGCACCCTGACGGGTGGGGGCCGAGAGAGTGGGGTCTCCCCACACCTCAATAATAAGCACACTTGGCCTTTGGTTTGGGAGGGGTCGATGGCAGGGTGAGTTCTCAGACCCGAGGAGGGTGTCTCTTTCCTGACGGGTTGGAGGGGGCTGACCGCTGGCCCTGGAGCCATGGTGCCGGCCTGCCCCGTGGGCAGCCACTCGAGCCGCTTCTCCAGCCCAGGACGCCTTTTGATCAGGTCTGGGGGCGAGGGAAGTTCACTCCTGATTACACCAGCCGGTGCGCAGCTTTGAACTTCAGAGTCAAGTATTTCCTTCCGTATTAGCCGGGGTTCTCCGAGAAACCGTGCTGATAATACTTTCACTTCCCTTCCCATAGGAATCTGTGGAGGACTCCTATTGGGCTGGCCAGGCTGGTGGGGAGCGGGGGGCCCTGGGGTGCAGTAAAAGACTTTGATGGATGCGGGAGGAGAAAGGAAGCATGAGGGTGAATGTTAAGAACAGTGTCTGCTCCTCTGTGGGGCTGCCTGTGTCTTCCCTCTCCCTCAAGCTCCCCCTCTCCCCATCCCTAGAGCTGGGACCTCATGGTCCCTCTCCCAGCTCAGCCCCCACACCCACGCTGTTCCTCGTCCAGGCTATGAGGACGACTGCACACGTAGCCTGATAGGAACCCCATGGAACCTGTCTCCTAGCGCACGCCGATGCTGTCTGGGGCTCAGAGGAACAGCTCCGTCCTGCCCCCGGGACCTGGTGTGACTTGAATCCTCAGAAGCACAGGCCCACCTTTGCCTTGATGCCACAGGGCCCAAAACATCAACACTGACATTTTCATCAGCTCTTCCAGGGCTTCTGGAGGTGGCTAAGTGCCCGTGACCCCCGGCTCGCCAGCCCACACCAATGCTGCTCACTCCCTGACATCCTGGAAGTTCCAAGTGCCCCTCCTAGGGGCTTTTCCAGCCCACTGAAGGGCTGACGGTGCAGCTGGTGGGGTGTTCCAGCCAGGACCTGGGCCCACAGAGGCCTTGAGCCCACTTTTCCACCTCAGCTGCTTTCCAATGCTCGGCCTCACATATGGGGTTGACCAGATGGCCCAGGGGGCTCTGTGACACAAGGGTCTTTCTGGAACCCTGGCTGGGTGTGGCTGGGGCAGGAGTGGACCACTCCTTTCTCTGTGGAATGCCACAAGATTGGGTCGCTAGAATGATGCTGAGTTGCTGCCTTGGGCTGACTCATATCAGGCAACAGATGAGTTCAGGGTTCTGGGCTATGACCCATGGTGGTCTGTGGCCATGGTCCATGGCCCGTCCTTAACCTCGAACCATGCCTTTGGTTCAAGGCCTGCTGACTGTACTACCTCCATTTGACAGCTCTGAGGGCCGCAGGGATGGTGGCAGCCTCCCCTGCCCCCGCCCCTGCCCCTCCGCCCATGGCACCCGGGCTGCCACCCATCCTCTCTGGAGGCGCCTGTCCTGGGGTCAGGCAGTGTCTTCTCCGGGGTGTCTCCCAACCAGCAGATGCTCTGGGCTGTTTGACTCCTGCCAGGTGTGGGGCAACATCCCCAGACAATAGGACTGTGCCTGGTGGGGTGCGGTGTGCACAGCTGCCTTCTGGAGCATGGGGCGATCCAGCGTGTGGAAGGCAGGGTGTAGTCACCACAGAGAGGGGTCGCAGTAGAGGAAGATGCGATGATGCCTAAAGAGCTCAAGAGAACATGGTTGGACGTGCTGTTCTCGATGCTATAAAATTCAGAATAGTAGCGTTAACATGACCAGAAAGTGAGTTATCACTAACGTTTCTTGCCCTGGGGAGATAGGCGCTTGTGCTTATCAGCGAAGCCAAGAGTTGGCTCGGAGGAGCCACTGGGCGCTGTCGTCACAGGAGATGAAGCCGCATTACCAGCCGTGGTGCCACCAGCAAGAGACGGAGGGGAACAGGAGCCACAGGCGAGAAGGCCTGCCCCTTTCCAAGTGAGCGGCTCTGGAGAGGCCGGGCGCTGCCATTGCAAGGTGGGGCTTGCCGCGGGAGACTCAAAACCAGCCCCGAAGGCGCAGCTGACGATACAAAGCGGGACCTGCACAGGAAGGGGGAACCTGGCGCCCGCAGACCCGCGTGTGCCCGGCGGGACACTGGACGTACGTGCGTTCCCTCCTCTTCTCTGTCCTCCTAAGTAATCTCTATGGCAGATCTCTGTCTCTCACGGGGGCCCACGCGTTTTGTAACACAAGTTGTCAATGCACTGTGAATGCGGACAGGGACCCGCAGCAAATATCCACTCAGGCCTTGCCACTATAAAGGCCGCCCTGATCTGGCCTCTGGGGATTTCTGAACATGGCGCAGCAGAAGGGCGGGAGGGCGAGGAAGCTGACCATGGTGGGTGATGTGGGCAGCTGGATGGAGAAGGAAGTAAAGATGGGATGGGTCTGAAAAATGAGGGAATGTGTGCGTCACTTACGTGCCACGCATGTGCCTGGTGCGTGTTCAGGGGTGTCAGGGGTGTGTCAGGGGTGCCAGATGCCAAAAGGCAGTATCACCGGGGGCCAAGGGCAGGGACCGTGGGAAGAGCAATGTGAGACCAGGGCGGTGGGAGGCTGGAGGTTGGGGGAGATGGCCATTGGTGGGGCAGTCTGGACAGTGGGGGAGGGTCTCTAGGGCTGAGCAGGTCAAGGAGCTAAGAGGCAGGATTTCGGAGGGATCCTCCTAGTGGCCCTGGAGTGACCAGGGGCTGAGAGGCAGAGGGCAGAGAGGAGGCCGGTGGAGGCCAGCTGGGAAGCAAGGAGAAGGGTGCTTAGGCCTTGCCGTGGTGTGAGCTGGGAGTGGACATTGGGGGTAAGGGAGGAGAGACTTCACGCTGGGGCTGCTGGGTGTTGGGACCCCCAGACTGAGCTGGTTTTAGGGATCCAGAGCATGGAGGCAGCTCTTCTCCCCACTTGTCCCCATGTCCAGCTCAGGGCTTGGTCAAAGGACCCGTAATACAGGTTTGCTGAAGGTGAGGGTCTAATCTTTGGGTTCAGTGGGAGATGTCGAGGACAGAGGCAGTGGCCAGGGAGCAGACATTCAGGGCAGTCTGCGGAGGAGCCGCGGGGAGGGGAAGGCCTCTCTGGGCCGCAGTTTCCAGGAGGAGCCTCACCTGGAGCCCAGAGGGAGCCTGAAATATGCCCGGGCCTCGCGGCGCTCTGGTCTCAGACTGGGGTGCAGTCCGACAGTGCCTGTCCCCGTGCCGGCTGGGGAGCCCCAAGATGACCCTCCAGTGGCAACAGTCCACCCCAGGCCCCCCTTATTGGGCACAATTTCTGAGCCTCAAGCCTGAGAGAAGCACCTCTCGTCTCCCTTATTCCCCTCCCTGACTCTACCCCTCCCCCACTACTCCCCCCTCCCCCCGCCTCCCACCCCTTGGGACTAGCGAGTGAGGCCCCTCCAGGCTTCAGGCCCCTGAATGAGCTTGGCTCCCCCGCCCCTGGAGAGCCTGAGGCTGCTACTTTCCTCCAGGTGCGGCAGGGAAACCAAGGCTGAGTGAGAAAAGCAGCCCTACCAGCTCCTGCATTGCGGGTTCGGAGGAGCAGACCCCACAAGCTGGCCTGGCTCGGTCCAGAGGGCATGTGCTAAGGGGAGAGGGCTGGTTGTGGGGTAAAGGGGCCCCTCTTGTGCACAAGGTCACACTTGGCCCTTCCCCACGGTGGGCAGGCCTGAGGGCCGAGGCGCCCTGTCTGCGATCCAAGGGGTGAGTGTCCACCTTCATGCCCAGGTGGTGGTCCCCAGGGGGTGCCTTCTGAACCCTGGGCTGAGGCAGGCAGACTCCACCTCCAAGCAGGAGCCCCGCTGACACCCGACTGCGCTCACATGCAGCACCAGGAGGGAACGGCGCCCTCGCTCAGGCGGCCAGCTGGCCTGTGTGGGCTTCCCAAGCGTGCCAGAAAGACCCAGGTTTGGCTCTGCCAGGGAGACGTCTCAGCCCCTCGCCTTCATGCCCATGGGCCCTGGACTGAGCTCAAGAGGCCACAGACACCAGGCCCTCTGCACCGGCTCCCAGTGGGATGCCTGGAGGGTGCTCACAGCACTTCTGCCCTCACGTTTGCTCCCTTCTGGGGGTCCTGGGTGCCAGCCGGGAAGTTCTGCCCTATGAGCCTCTGATCCTTGGGCATGGCGGAGGGGCAGGGGAGGAGGCATCTGTCTGGGGCACAGCCATGCCAGGTGGGCCCTGCATAGGCCTTGGCTCAGCCATAACGTGGCCGTCGCACCTGCAAGGCGCACTCCTGCAGAAGTGTACCCCAGCCGAGGGGGCCGGGGGTTCCCCCACGAGGACTCGGATTGCCCCCTGGAGACTGAGACCCACAAAAGGAAAGAGAAAGGGCGGGACAAGGCGAGGGAGGGGGGGTGGACAGTGGACGGGCGGGGTGGGAAGGTGGGGGCCGGAGGCCTGCTCTGGCTGTCCCCACAATGAGGAAGCGTCTCTGCAGCTCGCTTCCTTTCCCTCGCTGAGCGCCCGAAACAGGAAGTTCAGCCGGCGAGCTGGTGGCAGTAGCAGCTCAGTGGGGACGCACAGCCGGGCAGTGCAGGGGCCTCGCTCCCCTGGCTGCTGTGTGGGTCGGGAGGTGGCTGCCAGCCCAGCCCCAGGAGACCCGCGCCCGCCATGGTGCCCTGCTGGAACCACGGCAACATCACCCGCTCCAAGGCGGAGGAGCTGCTCTCCAGGACGGGCAAGGATGGCAGCTTCCTCGTGCGTGCCAGCGAGTCCATCTCCCGGGCGTACGCGCTCTGCGTGCTGTAAGTAAGGGCGTCCTGCCCCGCGCCCCCGCCGCCTGGGCTCCCCTGCCTGCAGAGGCAATGGAAGTGCACCTTGGGAGAGCGATGCCAGCGGGGGCTCAGCCCGGCACCTGGTACCTAGCAGGGTGTTCTGATGTCAGGGAATGGGGTGACCTGGCTGCACACTGCCCAGGCTGGCGGGGGCGTCCAGCCGAGGCCCAGCGTGGACTTGCCTGCCTTGGAGTTCAGGGGTTCAGGTTTTGCCATGCTGGAGCTCTCCAGGGCTGCCCTGGGCCTGGTACACACCCAGCTGCCTGAGAGGCGCCGCGCCAGCAGCTTCCTCGGGGCTCTGGGGCAAGGGGAAGAGGGCCCGGGCTCTCCGAGGCAGGCGGAAGCTCAGGGCACCAGGGTGGTGGGTGGCTCAGAAGGCAGCTCAGGTGTCGGGCAAAGATGCACCGTTTGGAAACCCTTGTGTAAGAGCAGATGCGGCTGAAGGCGACCCTGCCTGTTCCCGGGTTTGGGGTTTGGAGGAAGTCGCTGTCTGGGGAGCCATGAAGATGGGGTGGGTTCCCCCAAAAAAGGACTTTCGGTTCACCCAAAAGTTGCATTCGGGGCCCTGACAGCAGAGGAAGTCACCCCCACCCAGCCAGCCTCCTCTCCCCGGGTCGCTCTCCAGGCCGCCTGGCCACTCCCCACTCGGCGCCCCTTCCCCCCTCTGGAGGCTGTTGAACGTGCCAGTGGCTCTGAGCACCGGGAAGCAGCCGCTTGCTGGAGCTCCGGTTCTGAGACACCCTCTGGACCCATGGCTGGAGGCTCTCGCCGCTGCGGCCCTGTGCTCGGGCCGCCCCCGGTCTCAGACCGTGCTGGGGCACCCGGGGAGCCCACCTGCGCCTCTCAGCTGGTGTCCTGGGCTCGAGGGGACGTGGGTCGCTGAACACAGACCTCTCCTGGAAGTGAGTCTGGCCCTTGCCAGCCGGTTCCCCTCCCCCTTGGGACAGCTCTCAGCGCAGGTCTGTGGTCGCCCGTCCTGCAGGGGAGGACGCAGAGGCTCAGGCAGGTGAAGTGACCGCCGACACTCAAAGCCAAGACCATGTATCTCCCCTGCCCCCACGCCCCCCCCCCCCGGCCGCCCTCAGACACCCAGACCCTTGCCTGGGACGCCTGGTGCGAGCGCAGGGCCCAGGTGACAGCGAGTGGGGCAGAGTGTTTACAGGCCCAGCTGGGGGGATTTTGAAACTAACCCAGCTCATAGCTGCCAGCAGGCTCCGCTCCGCTGACAGAGGCCCGACCTCCCCAGCCCGGCTTCCTGTGGCCCCAGCTCAGCTCAGGGGAGGGGACGCTGGCCCAGATCTTCTTGCAGGCACGGCCCCCTGGGAGGGGGGCACCCATCAACGGGGCCTGGAAACAGAGGGGAGGTCCCCACCTGACAGCTCTCGCCCACGTGGATTTCCCTCCTGCCCCCGCGGGGCCTTGTGGAGGCTGATGCCCTTAGCCATTCGCTGTGTATGAAGCCACAAGCCCAGGGCCTCCAGGGGCCTCTTCCCTAGACCAGGGCACTGTGGTTGTGTTCAGCTTGCAGACATGGGCCGACTGGCAGCTTCAAGGCAGGCTGGGGCCGGGCCAAGAGAGCCTCGGGAGCTACCGCCCCTCCACCTCCGACTTGGCAGAGGCCTTCGCGTGTGCTGCTCTGCTGGTTACTGGTGACCTGGAGTCTGCTCCTGCTTTCTAATATTGCTGCCCCTACCCTGCTCTGAGGGTGCCCTGGTGCCCACAGATGTCCACCATCTGGACTTGCCAAGGCCCCGCTTACTCCAGACACCAGGGTGGGAGCCCCGCCCCTTGTCCGGGATCCTGCCTCCTGGGGCCCAGGGCTTCCCCTAAACCCCGCTCTGCAGGGTCAGGAGGCTGTGGGACTGCAGGGGCCATCGAGCCCCCCGGACGCCAGGGAGCTTCGTCTCTCTGTCACCTTTAATTTTGCCAATTAAGGAGATCTTAAAACAAAAAAGTGAATGAATGACAGCTAACTGTCCTCTCCCAGCTCATTTCCTGGAAGAACACCCTAACACACAGGGCAGGAGGAACATACACTTAAAAAAATTATCGGGTATACATTTAAAATCAAATCAAATACATTTAACTTCTTGACTAACCAGCGCAACTGTTCTGAGTCTTCTCTGCTCCCTGGGTGGGGGAAAGCCTCTTCCTGAGCAGGCCGTCGTGACCGGTGCTGGGAGCCCCGATGGAACAAAGGGCAGGCCAACGAACCCCGTGGCCCTCACTGTGCCCCTGGAAGTCAGTGGGGACCCCCTTGGTGCCGCCGTGGTCTCAGGACCTTCAAAGAGCCCTGCTTTCAAAGTGAATCAGGGCGACAGAAGGAAGCCACAAAGATGCACCCTCTTCTCTAGAACGTTCTGTATAGAAGACCTCCCGGCCCAGGGTGCCCAAACCTCATCCTGGAGCCTCTCCCTGGCCCCCAGAGAGGGAGGGGCCATGGGGAGTCCTCCTGCTGGTTAAGGCCGGTGTGCTTGGAGCTCCAGGAACTGAGTGCGGATTCGAGGGAGTGGCCTCCATGCCCAGAAGGAGACCAGATTTGACTATTTAAATGGCACTAGGGAGGGGGCGGGTGAGACGCTAAGGACAAGGCTTTGATTTAGGCCACCCACGCTACAGGAGTCACGGTCGTCCTGGGCCTGGCAGACCCACATTTCCTCTCCAGAGGTCAGCCCTCACACCTGGCATGGGGCAGGAAAGCTCAGGTCCCGTTCAGCAGCCCCGAAAGCCCTGCTCTGGGGGGCTTGGGGCCCCTCTCTGGCTCTGAGCTGGAGAGGTAGACCCTGGCAGCTCTCCCATCTCGCAGCGGAAGGGACAGTGCGTTCTTCTGGAAAGGCCCAAGTCATCTTTCCCTGGTCCCCTCTCAAACCTGCCCACGAATGGACCCTACCCTGGGGAATCTGCAGGAGCGCCTGGGAGGGGCCGTCTGGCCCATCTTGGAGTTGGCAAAGAAGCACTCACGCTGGTACCCTCTTCACCATGTAGGTCCTGCACACTTGTTAGGTACTTTATGCTGCAGAGACAAGAAACCTTTGGGGGTGGGGTCCATCCATGCCAGGGGCCCTGGACCCTAGAGCCTGCCTAGGACAGAACTAGAGCAAGGCTGGGCCTTGCTGGGGATACCACCTGTCCGCTCTTAAGAGTGGCCTGGCCCCACAGTGACAGCCTGCCTCTGACTGGGCCCGTCAGCCATGACCCAACATGGAGCTGCCTGGTTGAGTGGCATTTCCACCAAACCGCTAGAGCGAGGGGGAGTCAGGCACACGCTGGCTGTGGCTCCAGAAGCCAATGCGTGGTCCAGCCAGCTATAGCGAGGAAGCATCTCTGTATCCCTCCATGCACAGGCTTCCCCGACCTGCCAGGCACACCCGCAGCGTCGGGGCAGAAGCCTTCCAGGGATGGTAGACCCACCCACTCACTGTGCACGTGGTCTTGGGAGAAAGTATTCTCATCCCACTTTATAGATGAGGAAACCAAGGGCCAGAGACGCTGTGTTTGCCCTGTTTGCAGAACTAATAAATGGCAGGGCCAGGACTTGAACTCGTGTGATTTCTGGGCGGGAGGAAGAGGAAGGAGCCAACATGCCCGTGGCACGTGTGGTCCGGGAGCGGCCTGGAGACGGGAGGCTGGCTGATCCAGCTGCAGAGAAGGGATGTGGGAGGGAGAAATATCCAGGAGAGGTACAGCCGGTAACCTCGGTGTGAACAGGTGTGATATAACCCTCCCCCTTTCCAAGTGGTGTGTGAACATTTTGTGCAAACGCAATGAAAACTGCCTTTTTTCATAATCTGGTATTGACAGAAAGCGGGGGTGATGCTGGCACAGTGAGTTAGCCAGACCCCAGCTCTGAAAGTCCACTTTACATACAGCAAGTGGGCTTGGTGCCGGGAGAGGACTTCGGCGTCTCCCTCTGTGTGCAAGACCGGGAGGGCCAGGCGCCCTCCCAGGCCCGAGTATTAAGGGGTTACTGGTATCTTCTGTGTGAAGTGACTCAGAAGAACCGCAGTAAAGTCGGGTGTCTCCAGGTTTCCTGTGCCCACATCCAGCACCACAGAGCTCTCCCTCCAGACCCAGGGGAGGCTCTGGCCGTGGTTTATTCTGCAAGTTTGCCTACCTGACAGGTTCAACTCTCCTGTACGTAGACACTAATGCTTCTCTTTTAATGGTCCCTTCACCTGGAGCCTGGGCCCAAATGTGGGGTTGGGGTATGGCGTGGTGTGTCCGACCAGGCCTCCTCCAGCCCAGCTCCGGACAGGGAGGAGGTCTGCTCCTCGCTCCTGAATTCAGGCCACATGACCACCCCGGGGAAGCCCTTGGTGATCAGCTAGATCTCTTTCCTGCGCTCACCCAGCGTCCTCACTGGTTAACTTTTTTTATGGACGTAAAACTCCCATCCCATAAAATCCCCTTTTCACAGTCTACAATTCTGTGGCCTTTCGTATACCCACAGTGTTGACTGTCGTCACTGTGTGATTCTAGAATGTTTCCATCTCCAGAAGAAGCCCTCCGCCCATGAGTCACTCCCTGTGCCCCTGTCCCAGCTCTGGCAGGCACGGTCTGCATTGTATCCCCAGACATTTGCTTTTCTAGGTAATTCCTAGAAATGGGATGCTGCAACACGTGGCCTTTTGTGTCTGGTGTCCTCACTTAGAATCACGCTTTTGAAGGTCTCCCCTGTTGTATGGATCCCCTGTTTTGATGGCAAAGTGACATAGCGTGTGGGCGGACGCCATTTTATTTGTCCATCCTTGGTTGGTGGACATTTAGGTTATTCCCACTTCCCGGCATTAGGAACACGCTGCTATGAACATTCATGTGCAAGTTTGGTGTGAACCTACGTTTTCGATGGTCTTGGGTGGAATTGCTGGGTCACGTGGTGCTTCCGTGTTTGACTTTATGTGGAACTGTCAGACTCTTCCATGGCAGCTGTGCCATGTCTCCGTCCCCCCAGCAGTGCATTTCCCCACATC